AAGAAACCCTCTCCCTCTCCCTCTCCCTCTCTCTCTCTCTCTCTCTCGCTCTCTCTCTCTCTGTGCCGTCGCCTGGACTTGGAATCTCAGGGAGGCCGTTGGGAAAGGCTAGGCGCACTTGCTGACCAAATATGTCGCAGGTCTCCTGACAGACATGACTCAAGAATGCGGCAGGTCCTATGTGCCTTTATGTAAAATCCCCACGCCTGGCCCCGTAAATGCTGTAGAGCGCATTTAATTTGAACAGGGGGTCACCAAAAAGAATGCAAACAGCTTCATTTTTGTATGTCTGTTCGTCTCCGACTTGGGACTGGGACAGCTGATGCTCTCCTTCATGGTCTTGTCCAGCTGATTGAGCTGCTTATGCTGCCCCTGAATCACATTCGGATCTGTCACGGGCATTGGCGGCCAGATCTTCTCTTGCAAAGTAGGTGGCGGTTGTGCAACCGTTGACGGTTGCCTGGACACCTCTGCAGGCTGACGCCGCAACATCTCGAACTCGTACTCCTTCAGGAATCGCTTTTTCTCTTCGACGAGCGCCTCCCATTTCTGCTTAAAGCCTTGCTGCTGATCACCCACTCGATCACGGAATTCCCGCTGATACCGGCCATCCAACTCTTTCTGGCACTTGTCGTTGAAAACTTCTACCTGGCAAAAGGCAATCTGCCAAAGCTGATGCCATTTCTCATGTGCTGTCCCACCTGTGTGGACAGCTCATCGAATAAGGTCTCCAACCTTAAATGATGCAGTCTTTCTGCCCCGTCCAACAAGTTGGAGCTTGTAGAAGGTCTGGCCAAGAAACTGAATTACCTCATCATCCAGCTTGCGCACAGCCATGACTCGCTGTTCCTGCACCTGACCCAAAGTGGTTCACTTGCAGCTAGTGGCAAAACAGGTGTGTGTATGATATATACATATATATATATAACTCTCATAGGCCTGTTCCCTACTTGAGAAGCAGGCCTCACTCCGATACAAAGCACGCAGTAGATTCAAATCCTGTGCCGGACCTGCTTCCGCCACATGATACCACCCACTGGCAAAACGCAACAAATAAGGACCTCGGCTGTTGGAGCATCAGCATGAGCATTTAGGGCACTATACACGTGCCGTGTATGTCGCACACATGCAGCAGTCTCAACAGCCAAGGCGCGACACACAAAAGGATTATGACTATAAGTAGTTCCACAGGAAATTCTGAGGAGCTTGTTGTTCCTGGCAGGCTCTAGCAAAGGCAAGGTGCTTGAAGCTCCACAAGCTTCCCTGCCTGCCACTGTCGTCGTAGCGGTTGACATTGCAGTAGTTGTCGGTGTAGTCAATGATTGAACGAGACTTGCCACCGCTGAATCAACCTTGAATCAGGAAAACCTTCTCAACGATCAATGGTTGAACTTGAGCATGACAATGTCTCAAGAATACAGCAAAATTGTGAAGATCTCAGTTGCAAGCAGTGATGTTTACGTCCAATCCGGCTGTTTGGATCGCATCCTGAAGCTGCTGGCTTGCGTTGTCAGTCGACTCCATGCGCGCCTCGGTGGACTCCATGAAGGTTTTAGATAAGCAGCAGCAGAATCTCAAATATCATACCAAACGCTTTCAAATCTGGAACATGCGGCAACTTATGCACATAATCATAAACCACTAAACAACGACACCCGCATGCGGCTGCATGTATGCTTCTCTCATCACCATCGTCTGTGCAGTTCACAACACGAGTCATAAACGGGTGTCTTTATGAAAACAGCTTTGGATCGCAGCACAACCCTCCCAGTCCTGAATGGACGCACCATCGCCACCCAAGACTTGAATTCCAAAACCAATCTGCGCGGTTGCCTCAAACACACCAGAGCTGCAGCTGACTAGTGTATGTCGCACTCTCCCGCACACCTAAAATAGATAAAATGGACTCAGTGTCCCCTTTGCATGCAGGAGGACGCGCATGATGAAAGCATGCGAAAATCCATGCGAGCAAGGGACTGACAGGAGCCTAGGCAAGAAGGAGAGGCGGCGATTTGGACAAGTCACATCCTCAGCAAAGTTCAACGAATTCTTGCAAAACACTGCCGCTTTCCTCTTTTTTTTGCAACTGACCCCAAGCGTTGAGATAGGTGCACAGCGCAAAGCCCATCATAGCGCTATGGAAACAAACTGTTTTTTGAGTAAGCTCGTGGCCACAGTACCTTAGAGATCACTTTCTGAAAGAGTAAAACACTCAAGTCATAAAGGGTAAGGATGATGCTCAGAACATTCTGGAAACGTTGAAAAAAGGTCTTGATAATTGCAGACTCGCAACTAACTTGCGCCTCTGTCACCTGCCGGAACAGCAAGACATACATACTGTAGAAACTGCGTACGCAACACTCCCCGTGACAGGGTCCAACTTCACAACAAAATTGGAAAGGGGATCATTACGTGGCTGCTATCCAAACCCTCAATGTGCAAAAGGACTTGCCTGCGCAAGGGTGGCGATACCTGTCTTGATGGCACCACGGCCTGTGTCCGTTTGCAAGGTCACGCAACTGCTCACGGTGGCTTGCATTTCCTGAGCGGGCACCAGAACATGGACAGTTCCATCAAGATACGGACAAGGAAATACGGAACACGTAATGAAAGCGAGGAACGCCAGTTACAAATTCCAATATTGTAACCGTCGTCGTCGTCGTCAAATTCGGATTATCAGCCGCAGTTGTCGTTATGTCTGTCGTCGTGGTGTTCTCCGTCTCCCCATGCGATGCCACGCTGAACAGAATCACTGCAAAGACTGGGCCTGTGGGGATAGTCAGTGCAACAAGGAAAAACTCACTAGACTATATAGATTGATCGTGATTCTTTAGCAAGCTGCTCTCACGTTCTTGCCTCGCCACATGCTGCGTAATGCCTCAGTTTTGCATATCAAAATCACGCGGACATGTCTGTTGGAACATGTTCGAACCAACCGAACTTCGACAGGTTGTTCTGAGCCCTGTCGCCTTCATTCCTTCCGGGCTCAGGCCGTCCAAACGAAGGAGGCAGGGGTCAAGCAACAACACGTCGTCACTACGTCACTACTTTCACTACATGCCAGCTTGAGCCGTGTGGACCAACAAGGATCGCTCTAGTGCCTCTTGGCAGTATTCACATTTCCTCAAAGTGTGCCACAGCAAGTTCCACAAATGTCACGGAGAAAAATGCTCTGATTACTTCTCATTGGCATCGACAAAGAATCGGCTTCAACGCGTCATGCATTGCCTTTTTTTGTCGACTTTCCAGCTGCCGTCATGACGGCCCATTGGCTGAGAGAAGATTTGGCCGTGGCTTGTCGTGCCGCCTGATGGAAGAATGTAAAAACCTATGGCCAAGCAAGGAAAACATTTTCACATCAGATCTTCAACTCCTGCGGCCAGGATGCTTTGCATATGCCTCGCCACCCTTCTGCTTGGAGGCCAAATATTCACCAAATGGAAGCCAGGGACGCTTGAACACTCCCTGCTTGTGAAGCCTTGGCCACACAATTGCACCCTTTCCTGCATACTGATTCTGAACTTACATGTTTTACAGTCTCAGTATTGCAGCGCATAAGGTGGCCCGTAGAGCCTTCAAAACTTTGATAGCCGGTGGGTTGTTGCTTTCCCGGCTTCTGGACCGGATGTCGCAGAGTCATCAAGTCGTCGAAGCACCCAACGACGGAATGAAACATCCCCGCTGGATTTTCGTCTTTGAGCTTTGTTGTGCCTAGTGACTTTTAGACTGTGGAGATTCGGGTCATTTTAGACAAGCCTGTCATCTTATGGGCTGCAGCGTGGCCTGGAGAACACAAATTTAGCAAGTTGTAGCCAAGAGTCTGATCAAAATATCGATCTCGATACTCCTGCAGCATTTTCAGTGGCATCATGGTGTGGGGTTGGCTGTGAAGCTGCTGTGTCATGTTTCTGGGGCCAATCACAAGCCAGAGCAGTCGGCTCAAACGCATCCTGTTCCGGCGTGGGGCTTCTCACAGTCAGGCCGTCTGCAGCCAAGTAAGCCTCGCGCTCATCCATGTGCGTCTGCAGCAGGGCCTGTGGGCATCTGCATCAGTCGTCAAGACACGGTCGAGATGTGGACCATGCGTTTTGTCTCAATCCTTCGTTACAGCTGAGGCGAAGACCGTCTCTCGCTTTGCTGCCGCAATCTTCAAATCACGGTTCAAGGAAATGAACCTCATGAAGGCGGAGAAGGTGAGAAAGGCAGAGGAGGACAATCGTGGGGAACCCAAGTCAGAAAATCTCAAAAGTTCAATGAATGCATCAGAACGTCTTACCGATCTGTTGATGAATCCTCGGAAGAAAAAAGAAAACTGCACATTCACATAGGGCAGAAAGCTAGTTGAGGCATTGTGGTGCCATAAGGTTACTGTAGATAGCATGGAGGCCACCGCTCTTAGGTTGGAGGCCATCGCTAGTAGGTTTCTTTGCATAGTCTGTACTTTTCTTGTTTTCATCTCTCCAGTTGCTCCAAGGATCTGGATGACATGGCGTCCCGCTTTCGCTAACCGCTCTGCAAGTTGAGGGGTTGGAAAGACTGACACGGAATACATCTGCTCAAGAACTGCACAGGTTTGCTGGGAGGATCGAGACTGCAAAGCCATTTCCAAGGCCAGGTGATAAAGGTCATCTGAAAGTTTGATGTCCTGCGGAACGGTGTCCCACAGAAGGAAGAAGCGGCCAACGTCCTTTAGATCATCGCCAAACATGCGAAGTAGGTGCGCCCAGGTGTCTGCATCAGGATTCACACCAAACTCAGCATACTGAGGAAGCATCTCAACTGCAAACTCTGCAAATCCACCAGCCACATATACCCTAAGGACTTCATTCAGCATGCTCGTCCAGTTGATGCGACTTTCACAGGCACGACGAGCTTCTGCAACAACGTTCCAAGCATAGCGAAGATTTTGTAGCTTCTCGTTCTCCGAAGTATGCGGGCGTCGCATGGCTGATGCAAACAAGCTGACCAAATGGCAGTACATCACAGGACTTAGCACAAGGCCGTACTCGCGCATTTCATGTATAGTTGTTTTTGCACGCTTCGGGTCTCCAAGCTGTGCGCAAGCTCTCAGTAAATGCTCAAAAACAAAGCTGCTTATTGGTAGGTCCTCAGCCTGCATCTGCCTGTAAAAGTCGAAGGCCTTCTTTGCATGATCTTGGCTGCTTGACATTGCACGGATCAGCTCTCCATAGGTAATGTCAGTCGGATACAAACCACTTATTCGCAAGTCGTCCAGCAAATTCAGGGCACGTTCTGCTTCAGATGCCATCGCACAAGCCTTTATCATCACAGTAAAGAGAACTTCATCAGGCTGTATCAGCTTCCAGGTTCGGATTGAGTGAAACTCTTCCCACGCTGTCTCCAATCGTCCTTCGTGGACAAGCCCATTGATCAGGATTGTGTGAACAACCACATCTGGCTGTACCCGCTCATCCTCCATCTTCCTTAAAAGTGAGTATCCTGATGCAGTGTCACCCGCCCGCACATGTGCGTGGATAAGTGCAGCATAGACCTTAGGAGTTGCACTTACAAGCTGCTCCCTCATTTTCAAGAAAAACCTTCGAGCAAGCTCTGCATCACCATGTTGAGCAGCTCCCAAAAGAAGCGACACAAAGGTCTCTGAGTCTGGCTCATACCCATGAAGCTTCATGGAGTCATGTGTTTGCACAGCCTCTTCCATTCGACCCTGTAGCGCTTGTGCCCGAATCAACTCATTACAATTGGAGACGGACGCTTTTCCCTCCTGAATGAGTGTCTCAAAATCCATGACACAACTTCGCATCTCCCGGATCCTCGCGGCTCGCTCTGTTCCTGGATGATGCCTCAAAGCTTCTGCCATGCTCTCAACCAAATCTGGATTTGCCCCCGTTCTTGCAAAGTCAGCTGCCTTCTGCCTGAGACTTGCAATCAAGCTTTGCTCAGGTCGTAGTGGGCGACTAGCATGGGAAAAGCTGCTTGCTGAATCCTGTTCTGCCTCTGACCTTGGCACTGTCACTACTAAACTCGCAAGTCAATTCACAAACATGCAGCAAGAACAATGTCTGGAACTCGACATTCTACATACAACAGGTGGCAGGTGGCTTCTTGAATTTATAGAATTATGTGTATGTGCATATATATATATATATATGTGTGTGTGTGTGTGTAAATGAAGCCAAGCTGCTGCACCGTTTCTTCTGAGTCATGTGGCATGGATTCACCTTCGTCTAGCAGCTTGATGCTGGCCTTTGCAGGAGACAAAGGTTCAGCTCGGCGGCCGCCTGGTGGCCTTCCAAGATTCACGATGCCCTTGAGTTGCTCAGCAGCTTCGGATGGATTCTCCACTTTGGAGGTTTCTTCTTCACCTTCCGCTTTTGCTTGCCATTTTGGTGTTTTTTTCTTCCGCAATTTGGCCGGCACTCTCCAGAAGGGCGTATCAGGAGCAACGAAGTCAGGTGCTGACTGCAGTTTCTCTCGCCTCTCCAGAACATCATCGAGCAACTTGCGAGATTCCACAAACACGGATGGAGCATCATGAGTGAGGTCCTCTGCGGTCATAGGAGGACCGAAACGAACAAAGAATTGTGGAGTCCGAGGCAATGCTGCAATAGGTCTCTGTTGGAGTCGCTTCACCTGCACTTGGTTTAGAAAAACACACACTAAAAGTTGCAAACAATTGTGTAAACAAGGACTGTGAGGCCCCTTTAAGGAGGCCCTACCTTTCATTGTCAAGGGTGAAGGATCGACGCCGGTGTGCACAATGTGCAAGACGTAGTGGCCGGCCTGTCTATCAAAATGCGGCAGGGAATTGGGGGCGTCGCCGAGATCCTCCAGATCGGTTGAGTGGCGGTGCTTCTTTTGATTGCGCCGCACTTTCTTCACAGGAGGAGATCCGGCTTTAACCTCATCAAGGCAAGCTTCAAGAATGCCGGCCATACCTTGCAGAACCTGTTTCATGACAACTCCACCACACATTCTAAACCCACGTGTTCTGAGACAAGGCACCGGTCGCAGCGCTTGCCGAGCAGCTCGTGGAGGACTTGAAGTCTGGTTCGAAGTTGCTTTTTGACTTTGGTGCACTGCTTTTAGATTCTTCTTTCTGGACGTCCTGCGTTGCGACTGTACAAACCCCAACTTTGCTGGCAGCTCGTTAGATGGCGACCATCTGGACTTTGGTGGTGGCAGGAAACTCGCCGTCGACACAAGTCTCGCAGAGTGCAAAGCTTCAGCGATTGGCCGCCATGAACTCACCAGTGAGCGTCTCTGACTTTCAAACCTAAGCAATGGTAAAATGAGGTAACATGAGTTTACAATAAAGTGAAGCTATATTTACAACTGGCGTTAGTATTTTACACTGGTGTTAGCAATGGTATTATATAGTTATATACCGAAAACAAAACGCTTGCGAAACCTCTACTTCCGGCAGATGTTCCTGTGACAACTCAGTCCGGCACACAGGTTCACAGCACGTCCGGCATGCAGTCTCATGCAGCAGGGTCAAAGGCGGGAAGTGGGCCTTGGCCTGCCGAACTACAGCCCACATCCCTGGCACTGCCGGTCACAAGTGCCCCTCGTAGCGGCATAAAGCAAGGATTGCATCGGGATCTATTAAGAATCTTGATAACATGATACAGCACGATGGATATGCTTTTCTTCCGGAAACATTTGTTAATTTCACCTGCAAATTGTATATCTTGTTGGTTACATCCGAAGCACCAGCGTCCAGACTATCAATTGCACTGCCGAGACATTGCATGCCAGGCAATATTGTGTTCATCACCCTCTCACTGTGGCGTGTGTTTGCCACGACCTTCTCCAGCAAAAAGGCTGCAAAAGGCCGAGCATGCGCATTCCCCGAGCCCCACAGCTTCAGTGTAGCCTGAGTACAACCTTGCTTTACATCATTTGACAATTGAAGTGCAACTTGTTGCGCTTCAACAGCGAGGAGCTCTCCGTGTGTGTGCGAGAAGCCAATGAAAGCCCTCCAGGCAATTCGGGACGCAGTCGAAATGCTAAAATACAAACCTTCAGCTGTACTGTGGCATCTTTTAGACACCGCGATAGTCAAATCGGTTGCCGTGCTTGTCAGGTTGGACAACATTGTGGCAACTGAATCAAATAAGTCAAAAGACAAAACAAGTACAGTCTATCGGCCAGAGCCTCTGTGAAAACACTGTGTTACGATCACATCCGGCCCCGAACCCAGACCTCAATTTGAGTTGATGGCACTTTCAGAAGTTAACAAACGTCAATTTCTGAAGGGAAACCAAGAACATGCCAATGCGTCCTGAGGGGGCAGCAGAGTATCGGCCCCGGGGCCCAAGCCAATGCAACTCTTCCTCACCAGGCTCAAGATTCTAATGTGTTCATGCACAAGCCCTTCAAAACACCTGGTGCAACCCAACTAAGACCCCATCCAAAGAGCTGGCAGACGAGTCCAAGGTGGCATTCCCACAAATCCATCCTGAAACCACCACAAGGCCCAGAAGACCATTTCATTGCGCATGTGTGCGCATGCGGCTGAAGCCCTGCAACCCATATATATAACTCAAGCTCACACCAGTGCCGTCAGGAGTTGGCCGCCTTGCACATACAAAGGCTAAGACAGGCTGTCCATGTGGCAGAAAACTGCCGAAAGTTTGCCAAGCTCGAAGGGCTAAGTCGAAGGCAGCCCCAGCTGCAAGTCTCGTGCCGCGGGTCTTGACCTTTGTGCTCCGACCATCCCAATGGCCGCAGTGCGAAGAAAGGACGGGCAAGCCAGCTATATTACACCAAAATCTGCCGTGCTTGATGCGAGAGAAGGTTGGAGGGGAGATGAGATGATGAGATCAATTTGAGACCAAAAGGTTGCAACTATCAGAGATGAGGCGTGATGCAAAAAAGAGGTGACAGGTTGAGTTTCAATACAATCATATACTGAGTTGATGGGAAAAAAACATCAGATCAACTGACCAAACGAAATAAACAACATGGAAGGTGAGATCGTGCGTAATGGGTTGATATTGGAAAGGGATGAAGTGAGATGAGCTGAGCATATAAGGAAACGAAGCGGTCATACAGGAGCAGCAGGAGGGAAGTTGAAGCCGCAAACCGGGCAGGTGAAAATCAGGGATACGTTAGTCATGATGATGTATAATATGTCCCTGAACCTCCTTCCCACATCTTGCTGAAACAGACTTGGACACGCAGTTTTCACGAGTTTCATGTGACCAATGGACAAAATGTCTCAAACTCGCCGTGGCTCAAACACTGCTGCCGCAAGTCTCATCTCGTACGCGTCGACAGAATATACCATCACCGAATTGCCTGCCACTCAAGAACCCAAGTCACATTGATTTTGACAATTTTCGAATTTTATTTCGTTTCCCTTCGTTCTCTTGTCGGAACCCTCAATTCGCAGCACAGGGTGCAGCCGGTCAATCCGGTGTGTGTGTGTGTGTCCACTGTGCCCAAGGAGTTCTGCAACGCACCTTTCGTTTCGAACGGAATGTAAAGGTGATGCAGGGGGTCGCTGGGGATTCGTGTAGTCAGCGACCCACGAAGACGCTGCACGTTTCCTGTGATATGAGTCAGGGACGCCTGACTCACGTATCTGCATTTTTCTCCTTAAAGGGCTAATGCGATGAAAACAATGTTGAAACATCTCCAAATTTCCGGACTCCATCGCCTTTCGGCTCTGCATTTTTGAGTCACGGTCTACCTGCACTAAAGGGGAACTTCGTTTACTGATCCAGCTCTTGCGAGCAACGTTCTAAGTGTGTAACGCCACAGAGTCCCACTGAGGGCTGTGTTGTGATCCGCGCGGCATGTGCATAGACCCAGACTTGGGGGACCCCCACTGATCGTTTCGTCTTTCTCTCGTGAACTTCTCTCAGATTCTCACTGGCTTACGGTTTTGCACGAGACTGCTGATCGAATGCCGCAGGGCTTACTGTGACTGAATTCCAGAACGAATCCTCACATGCTGCTAGGTCGTCACATGCACATGTCATGCTGCTACGTAGTCATAGGCCTTGTGAGGAGAGTGAAACACGTGAAGGGTTTTTCTCTTTTGGTCCGTTTGGCTTTTCTTTCCTGCTGTTGCTTTTCGTTGTCTTGAGGCCTTTCTTTAGGTTCTAGGTGCCTTTCGGACAAGGGAGCCCCGGTTACGGCAGTGCATCTGAGCCACCCCAACCCACCCTTGCACCTAATTCGCAGTTGCTATCTCACCCTCCAAGTAGGGTAACAGAAGGAAATCGCACTCAACACACTTGTGCGCTGGTGCCTTTCCTTCTGCTTCTCCTGTGCTAGTCGTTCCTACCCGGGCGGTCTAAGACTAAAGTCTGCTTGCTAACTAGTGGACCTAATTCATTCGGCTAAGTAGTCAGTAACTAGAAGGCTTCTTAACTAGTGGGCCTCGTAACTACTCCTACCTTTCTCTCTTGCCCTCTTCGCTTGCTCTTTCTGTCTTTTCTTTGTCTTTCTTTCTAAGGCTTGTTAGGTGGCTAGTAACTCTTTGGAGCGCCGAAAACGGCTCTGTGTGTGTGTGTCCACACCTCTGCCTTCGAACATAATGTAACGGTGATGCAGGGGGTCGCTGGGGATTCGTGCAACGAAGACGCTGCACGTTTCCTGTGATATGAGTCAGGGACGCCTGACTCACGTACCTGCATTTTCTCCTTAAAGGGCTAATGCGATGAAAACAATGTTGAAACATCTCCAAATTTCCGGACTCCATCGCCTTTCGGTTCTGCATTTTTGAGTCACGGTCTACCTGCACTAAAGGGGAACTTCGTTTACTGATCCAGCTCTTGCGAGCAACGTTCTAAGTGTGTGTGGAGCAGGCTGTCCAAAGTCCAAAAATGTCCAAAGCATGTTTAGGGAGGATCTAGTTGATTTCCACAGCGTTACTAACTGATGATAAGCAAGTGGATAATGATAACCAGAACTTCAGGTGCTGCCATGGCAACAGGTTTCACAGCATCATGCTCTCGTCTTATGGCCTTGCATGTCCACCCAGCTGCCCATGAGCTCCTCACAGCGGCAGCCATACAACGAATTCGGAAAGGAATATGGCCGATGTGCAGAAATATCAATTAATTGATTGGCACGGCAGCCCCGAATCCTGGGCAGACGGCAGCCACGGACCACTCCGCCTGAAACATTGTCGCTTTGACATCCTACTGTGGATGGAGGTCATCTTGGAAATGGGCCGGTGGGCATCAAAATCAAAGTCTGCACTTCCATGCCTCAGCAGCATCCAACTCCCCATTTCCTCTCCAACAAACAGCTGGCCCATCCTTTTGAGGTGCGAGCCGGTTCGCTGCCATGGCCTCACCAGGGATCCGAAAAAGGAAGGAATCCGATTTCAGTGGCTACTTTTGAATTGAATTTGCCGACTTCAAAATGCAAAGGCTCTGTGCTCAAGGAGAGTTTCTTGCACAAGATCGTGCACACAGAAATGCAGTTCCAAGCCGTGGCACCTCCACAGAGCAGGTCATTTGGGCATACCGAATTCGACTCTCCAAATCCTCGGCGTATTCTCACCACAAAGAAAAGGTCATGGCACAACACAAACGTGACACCAACAGCATCCAAGGGAATCACTGCACTTCTGCCATTCACCTCAAGCCATGCTTCACACTTTTGAAGGC